GGGCTTCCATATAAAATGCACCTAACATTTCATTCCCAGAGCCTCAAGCAACGTTTTTAGGCAGTGACTGGTTTTAATGCGAGCAAAAAAAGATACATGCATTTATCAACAACTTTTCCACTGGTTGTAATTTCAGAGCTCTTTATTGAACAGGAAAACATTTTCTTACAATCAGTTAGTCAATATTTTCACAGTAAAAGGTGGACTTTACAACAGTGACATTTCCAGTTTTACTGGAAGTAGTTTTGTTTGCTAATTGATCCTCTGCTCATCTACAGGAGGAGGACGACGGTGAAGATGTTGTGTATTTACGCCGATTATAAATCAGACGAGAGTTACACTCCGAGTAAGATCTCCGTCAGAGTGGGCAACAATTTCCACAATCTTCAGGAGATCAGGGTAACTGATTAGTTTCGCTGTGAAGCTCAGGCTATGACAGCTGCTGGATGTTTGATTTTAAACCAATCTGATTCTGTTTCCTCTGCAGCAGCTGGAGATGGTGGAGCCCAGCGGCTGGATTCATATCTCTCTTTTAAATCAGGTTAAAAACAGAAATCTGTATTACTGATGGATGCATCCTCCAGTTTCTGTGTTCAAGGAACTCATATGGAGTTGAAGTTGTGAAATTATTTTTTATTCTTTACTCGCTCATTATTATTGACCAAAATGCTGAATGTTATAAATGTTAGTTTGTTAGCGATATGAAAGTAGATTTTAAAGTAAAAAGCGGAGTTTATAGGTATTTAAATCATTTGGTTAAAAGCTGTTACTACAACTACAGTCCATAACAAAATCTACATTGGAGAAAATCTAAATCTAGATAAGTCATTATTTCTTAAAATAAGTGCATTTGTTCTCGAAGTGAGAAGGTAAAAGACACATTTTGCCAATGGAATAAGACAGTTTACATTTAAAATAAGAAAACACAATTGCATTGCAATTGCAAATATCTTATTTTAAGAGTAAAAATACTAATTCCATTGGCAAATCATCCCATTTACCTACTCAAATTAAGGGTAAATGCACTTAATTTGAGAAATTTCTACTTATTTCTAGATCGTTTTTCCCCTGTATAGTTTTAGTTTTTAATCCTATAAATGTTTTTTTTATTTCAACTAAGTTTGTCCTTGATTTAAAAAAAAAAAAGAATTTAATGCAACAATCTTCGACAGTCTTAAATGTGGTCTATTTTTTAGATATTTAATGTGGTAATGATCTGTTCCTGGGATGCACACAGGTGTAGTTTCAGGTTTCACCACCAGATGGCAGCATTGTTTAAACAGTAATATTACAAAAAAGTACAAATCTTTGTGCAAACACATTATTATTTAGTTTTTTTTTTTTCATTGTTGCACAAATTAAAACGTTATGTATTTTTATATTTACTTTGATTTTCTTTTTTGCGTTGCATTTTCATCCTGGTTAACATTTTTTCTTATTTTTAGAGAACAAATGAACCAATCAGCACCTTCATGATCCAGATCGCTGTACTCGCCAATCACCAGAACGGCAGGGACACACACATGCGTCAAATCAAGGTTTACACCCCCGTAGAGGAGAGCTCCATCGGAAAGTTCCCACGCTGCACCACAGTGGACTTCATGATGTACCGCACCATCAGGTGATCCCCAGTGGCTGACCTGGCAGGTTTGGGAATCGCAATACGAGGAGAAAGAAGATGGAGACTGAGCTGCTTGTGAGACGACTCTGATGGTCGTCATCGATCAGCTTTACACTGGTTTTCATTAGTTGGGATATTTCAAGTTGCCAATATTAAAGATAAAGGGACTCGAACTGGGTTTGGAGTAAAACCCTGGTGCCAACAGTTCTTCTGGATTGTTTTTTGACTGTGAAATAAATATTTTTAACCAATATGTGACTCTCACTTATTAGTGAAAAGATTCATAGTTTCTTTTTTCAATTAGTAGAGAAAAGTCTAAATTATTTTCTTTGGAAGCTAGTGAACCATTCCACATGCGCTGATCCAGTTTAAGCTGTTGTGCTTGTTTTTTTTTTAAAGTATTTATACCTGTTAAACCTTTAAGGTTTGTTCATGTTGAACAAACCTTAAAGTTGTCCACAAAACCATATTTTATAAAAAAAAATAATAATAATAATAAAAAAATATATATATATACATATATATATATATATATATATATATATATATATATATATATATATATACGTCAAAGATTTAAAAAAAAAGTTTATGATTATGAAGTGGAGGAAATATCTTCTTAATTGCTGGTGTTTCACAGGAAGGCTGGTTTCTTTCTGGTTAGAGGAAGATCCTCTAATTTTATTGATGTTGGAGCAAATTTATATTTGCTTTAATTAATATGGAGTATTATTATTATTATTTTTTTCCATTAAAGAAAACAAGTCAAATTTATTCAGAAAAACGAAAAATTGTTGAATAAAACATTTGTGTTGCATTAAACATTCATTCAACGACCTAAAAATATAAAACTATCTGCCAGTAACCCATCCCACAACAAAACGGAAGCTCCTGTCAGGCATCAAAAGAGCTAAGATAAGGAACACGTGTTAAAAAAAAATCATATATATTGTAATTTCTGGATTTTTTTTTTTTAGATTATGTCTCTCACAGTGGACATGCACCTAAGATGACAATTTCCGATCCCTCCATGATTTCTAAGTGGGAGAACTTGCAAAATAGTAGGGTGTTCCAATACTTATTTTCCTCACTGTACTTTGCCTTGTGTAATGGAGAGCTTCAGCCATTCTCCACATTTGTGTAACATGCATTATTTGTTGTTATTTTTAGAAATGCTATAGTCCTAATTTGACTAGCATCATTCATGTGTGCATTTCTGTCATGTGATGATAAAAATATCACATGTTACATCCTCAGGTCCAACACACTGATAATTTTTGGGTAAATTGCTATCCAGCAGTTTTGCATGCACCAACTAAAGAACAAGAGAATTTTGTTGAGTCCAGCTGAACGCATCTCTGCCATTTCAGCTCTTAGTACCAGCAGCTGTGTTAGTCGCACTTCTTCCTACCTGAAACTAGTGTGAGCCCTTTCAGCAACCACACCTTTGAATGGCCCTAATTAGAAAGGTAGGGGACATTGAGCTTTCTTTGTTTCATAAAATAGAACCAGGAAGATCTATGAAACCTGCTGAAAT